AACCACTTTTACACTTATGATTCCCCCAGTTAAACCTCCAAAAGTTCTAAGAGTTTATGCTTTTATTCAACGTAAGAGGAAAGAAACCAAGACTCAGAAAACCTTATTAACTTGGTTACACAACACATGTCAGTTACAGGGTGCAGGAACTAAAGAACCCAGGCTTCCTGCTTCCCTGTCCATTGTGCCCTTCCACTGAGGCACAGGGCCTGGAGTTATCTAGCAACTTAGAAGTTGGTGATGGGAGGCCTCTGCTCAGGAAGCGCCCACTCTGCACACCTGGCTGTGAACCTGTTGCCCGCTTGGCCAAGGGGGCTGGCTCCTTGCGGTTTCGGACTCAGGGAGATTTATGGAAGAAGGCGCTCGCTCTCCTCCGTGGAAGTCAGGTGGTTACTTACTCATATTGCCCGTTCCTCTGGGCTAGGGTCAGGGCGCAGGGCTCCCGGAGGGGACCCTTCATCTCCAAACCCTCCACCATATGCAGGCACTGGTCAAGGGTCTCTCCCTTTTTTTTTTTTTTTTTTTTTTGCAAACTCAGCCAAGGAGGGGTGACACGGGGTCAGGCACACACCAGCCGCCCTCCTAGGTTCCCCCAGTGTCCCCTCCCGAGCCGGCCCCCTTTCCCTGCTCCGCTCAGCCCCAGGACTTACACGTGCGGCACCCCGGCCCGCGCCCCCCTGCCCCCGTGGCCTCCCTTCCCCTTCCCCCTCTCTCAGACGGATACGGCCAGGGGCTGAGCTCCGATCGGGAGCTGCGGCTCCATCAGGGCGGCCTCCAGGCTCTGCGGGGCTGCGGACTGCCAGCGGATTCCACGACACCGCCTCCTGCGGCCTGCCGCCCACCCGCCTCGGCTAGGCGGACAGAAAGGGCTCGGGCGCCAACGGGCGCTGGGAAGCCCGAGAGCCAGGGAGCCTGGGAGGCAGCCGGGGAGCTGGGGAGCTGGGGAGCTGGGAGGAGAGTGTCTGACCCGAGAGAGAGCGGCGCCTCCCGCCCCCGCCCGCCTGCCAGGCCGCCGCAGATTTCGCCCCCTGCGACCAACCTGGGGAACTGCAGCCAGACACCCGAAAGACTTGACTCTGTAGCCGCTGGTCCAGCACAAGGCAAAGCAGCAGAAAGGTTCTGAGGACTTTGAAGACAGATAAAAGAAACAGCCACATCGGATGAGCTGGGCCTATAGGAACCATAGCATGATGCAAAACAAAACAAAACAAAAAAAAACCATTAAACTTATGAAGCTCTCTGTTGGTCATCTTCTAAGGTGTTTTCTCTTTCCATGTTTTTCTTCCATCCCCTAAATTTGGAAATTACCCAGAGCTTAGCCCTCTGGCCCACCCCCACCCCTGCATTTCATCCTCCTCAGGTGACTTCCAAATTTGTGAAGTTCAAGCACACGTGCCTAGTCCGTTCCACTCAGCCATGAGCCCTGAAAACTTAAAAGCTGCATGCTTTCTTCGTCTCTTATGATCATTTTGATCCAAATAAACCTTATTCATATTTTCTTTGGAATGACTTTACCAATTTCTTGTTTTCTCGCCTTTCAAATGGCCACGTAAACAAGCTTTTGTGATATCTGAGCTGGGTTACTGAATCTTTCCCCCACCCGAAGAACTTCTGTAACTTTTCCAGGCTGTTAATAGTCGCCCCAAAGTACTACCACTTCAGTTGCGTTGTTCATTTGCTCCGGAATCTGTATTTGACTAGATATCAAGACTTACTTTAAAGCTATGCTAGTTAAGACTCTATAGTATGAGCACAGACCAATGGAACAGAATACACAGCCCTTAAAAAGAGCCATCCACATATAGAAGATGGATTACTCAGTATATGTGCCATTTCATATCAGTGAAGAAAGAACAGATTCTTCATTAAATACCGCTGGGGATATTGTTTTTTTTTTTTTTTTTCACATGGCAAATTATATAGTTAGATCCTTACCTCACACCATGGATGTAAAAATCAATTTCTGGAGGTATTATAGTTAGTAGTCAGCCTGAGCCCACGAAACAAGCTGTGTGTGCTCTATATGTCAGAGCTGGGGAGGTGAGGTTAACCAAGCACTTTAGAGCCCAGAAGATCACAAATGAGTCCTAGATATCAGACATTAAGCTTTTTACACTGTTAGATTGTTGCTTGGCCTTGACCTGACCTGATCTTAACTGTGCCCAGGCTCTTCCCTCTGGAATAAGAAGGTATGAAACTTATTTTGGATTTTATAACAGCTTATAGTTAAAGAGACTTTAGATCTTTAAAGAGAATGGGCTTTTAAAATAACTGGTATTTTTAAAAGACTAAAACTATGTTTTTGTTTGCTTGTTTTTCAAGACGCATTTTCTCTGTTTAAAAGTCCTGGCTGTCCTGGAAATCACTCCGTAGGCCAGGCTGACTTTGAACTCACAGAGATCCATCTGCCTCTGCCTTCCAAGTGCTGGGATTAAAGATATGCACCAGCACTGCTCGGCTAAGACTGAAACTTTAAAACATATTGAGATTAACATGAGATCCCAGAGAAAAGAAATAAAAAAGGTTTGGTTTAAAATTGTGTGTTTGTGTGTCAGAATTGACAAAGGGTGGAATGTCGTAGGGTTTGTAAACTCAACACAAACACAGACACACCCAGGAGGAAGGAATCCCAACTGGGGAATTGCCTGTATCAGATTGGCCTGTGAAGACATTCTTTTGGTTACTGATGTGGCAGAGTTCAGTCCACTGAGCAGATAGGTCTTTTGTATATGCTGTATACGAAAGATAGCTAAGCAGGCCAAGGGAAACGAGCCAGTAGGCACTATTCCTTTAGGATTCCTTGCTTCAGCTCCTGCTCTGGCTTATGTTGATGATAAATTTCCTCCTCATGTTGGTTCTGGTCAGTGTTTTATCACTGCAACAGAAAACTAGGACAGGTAGGTTAAAAATCAAGTGGTGAAAAGCAAAACTTTGCAACTTTCAGAAGAAAGTGGGAGAGCAGGGGTGGGGGCGATGGGCCAGTGATAATACGGACATTTAGTATGCACAAGTCCCTGCAACCCCCAGCACCGAATAGTTATCCTCCTGGATAATGGAAGTAGTCAAGATTGCTGGGCAAAAATTGGGAACTGGGGGGTGGGGTGGGATGGGGGAAAGGGGAGATGGGGAAAGACAAGTGAGAAGGGGAGGATTGGGAGAGCTTGGGGGAATGGGATGATTGGGATAATGGAAGGATGGATATGGGAGCAGGGAAGTATATATCTTAATTAAGGGAACCAATTTAGGGTTGGCAAGAGACTTGACTCTAACGGGGCTCGCAGGTGTCCAGGGAGATGTCCCCAGCTAGGTCCTTGGGCAGCTGAGGAGAGAGAAACTGAAATGGCCCTATCCTATAGCCATACTAATGAATATCTTGCATATCACCATAGAACCTTCATCTGGCGATGGATGGAGATAGAGACAGAGACCCACACTGGAGCACCAGACTGAGCTCCCAAGGTCCAAGTGAGGAACAGAAGGAGAGAGAACATGAGCAAGGAAGTCAAGACCGCGAGGGGGGTACTCACCCACTGAGATCTATTGGGAGCTCACCACGGCCAGCTGAACTGGGACTGAAAAAGCATGGGATAAAACCGGACTCTCTGAATATGGTGGACAATGAGGGCTGCTGAGAAGGCAAGGACAATGGCACTGGGTTTTGATCCTACTGCATGAACTGGCTTTGTGGGAGCCTAGCCGGTTTGGATGATAACCTTAATAGACCAGGATGGAGGGGGAAGGAACTTGGACTTCCCACAGGGCAGGGAATCTGGACTGCTCTTCAGACTGGAGAGGAAGGGGGAGGGGAGTGGGGCATAGAGAGTGGGGGGAGGGGAAAGGAAAAGGGCGGTGGGGAGGAGGCAGAAATTTTTAATAAAAAAATTACAAAAAAATGGAAACAAAAAAACCAACAAAATATCAACAATGAAAATTAAAAAAAAAGAAAATACAGTGAGAATGATACTTTTTGTTACACTACTTTTCACAATGCATATACTTTTAAGACAATAGAGTGAGGCATGATAACACATGCCTGATATTCAGGAGTTTGAGGCTAGCCTGGGTAACACAGCAAGTTCACAACTAGTTGAAGTTATATAATGAGAGCTTATTCCAAGGAAAACAAGGAGATGAAACTCATCTTAGTGGTAAAATGCTTATTTACCACGTTCCAGGCTTTGGGGTTAATACCTAACAACACAAAACACACACACACACACACACACACCATCTAGTAGAAAACAATAAAATTATGAATAAATAATTAATTGTCAAGTATACCTTAGTGACTGCTAAAGCATAAAAGGATGCACAGCTTTATTACTACTCAGGAAAATTAAAACATAAAATCATGAAATATTGCTTCACAATCTTTTTTTTTTTTTTGGCAAAACATTGAAAAGTTAGGTAGCGGCTGTTAGGTCTCTGGCCCTCTATATGTCTAGAAATGATTTCAACCTGGACAATAGAAGGATTTCTGATGGTTAGATAAAAGCCAGCATTCCTCAGGAACTTGTGAAACAGGTTTTTTCATCCCCCCCCCCCAATGAATACCTCCCTCCAGCTACCTTATTATAATCTGCCTGGTTTGTCCGCCCCCCACTGTTTTGGGACTCTATTTGCTGCTCTCCCCCACTCTCGCACTGAGTCCTATCTCCTACTATCTCCACCATTGTCTCCTGCTTTCCCACTTCCCTAGCCCTGGCCATGTCCAGTCTGCTTTCTTTTCTCTCTGCTCTGGACTCTTCCAGATGCCTCTGGATATTGCTTCTGTTTTGCTAACAATAAGAACCCCCCCCCCCCCCCCCCCCCCCCCCCCCCCCCCCCCCCCCCCCCCCCCCCCCCCCCCCCCCCCCCCCCCCCCCCCCGTGCAGCTGTCCTGTTGGCAGTTCCTTTACTGCATTCCCTTGGATGCAGCTTCAAGTGTTTTTGAGGGTGTAGAACACAGATAACTTGGGTAGAATTTGTACTATCATTCTAAGTTAGTAAAGAACAATTGACAATGTCCAATAAAAGTGAAAACACACCCTATAGTAGTTTGAATGTAATTGACCCCCATAATCTCATAGGGAGTGGCACTATTAGGAGGTGTGGCTTTGTTGGAGTGGGTGTGCCTTGTTGGAGGAAGTGTGACAGTGTGGGGGCAGCTGTGAGGTTTCCTATGCTCAGGATACCACCCAGTGTCTCAGTTGATCTCCTGTTGTGTGACATGACTAATAAAAACCCAGAGACAGAAATTGGGGTTCTACCTGAAAACCAGAAAAGCAAGGTAGCCAAGCCACCAGAGAAGCCTCTACAGAGGCTGGGCAACTGCAAACTAACTAACTAAGCCTCTCTCTCCTCCCATTTTATATTCCCTCTAGTGCTGGGATTAAAGTCAGGACTCCCTAGTACTGGGATCAGAGGTGAGGCACCACCACCTGGATTTGTTTCTGCATTGATCTTGTTGTGTAGCCCAGGGTGGCCTTGAATTCACAGAGATCCATCTGCTCCTGCCTCCCAAATTCTGGGGTTAAAGGTGTGTGCCACCATTACCTGGCCTCTAGTGGCTTTAGCTTTGCCTCTGGTCTTCAGGCAAGATTTATTTATTAAAATACAAATAATATCCCACAACACTGTTGCCTGCAAGATGTAGGTCTCTCAGCTATTTCTCAAGCACCACATCTGCCTGCATGCCTGCCACTATGTTTCCCGTCGTGATGATAATGGCTTGAACCTCTGAAACTGGAAGCCAGCACCCTCAATGAAATGTTTTCCTTCGAAGAGGTGCCATGGTCATGGTGTCTCTTCAGAGCACTAGAAGGAAGCCATATGACACTCTTAAACCCAGAAATACATTCCTAGGTAGAAACCCTGGCAAAACTAATCTTTCTAAACAAAGAAATAAATTATTTTGCATTATTTGTAACAAAGATGGAAGCATATCAAATGCCTGCTGGAAGGCGAATGGGTAAATTTCGGTTTTCATGATTTCGGAATAAAATGAACGAATTTGAGCTTTAAGTAGCAACAGAATTAAATCTCAGAACTATGGAGTTAAACAAAAATGTCTCATATAATATTTATCCCAATATTTATCCAAATATTTATCTGAAAATTGCTGTGTGTTGATTACATAGATGCAGTACATAACTGTCACACAGGGGCATGATCACAAAATTATAAGGGAGGAGAGGTCTGAGAAGGATCCTGGGGCAAAAATGAATGTTATTATCTTTTCTCTTTTTTTTTTCTTTTCTGTCTTTTTTTTTTTTTTTTTAAAGACAGGGTCTATGTAGCTCTGGCTGGTTTGGAACATGCTATGTAAACCAGGCTGTCCTTTAACTTGTGATGATCTTTTGGCCTCCTTTCAAGTACTAGGATCACAGGTGTATGCCCTCAGACTTAGTTTTTAATAGTTATTTCTTCAAACACAATGAAAGTTGCTGTTGCAAGATTAGTTAGAACTGGGTGCTGGGTGCGTCTATTTTTCTATTGTTCACTTTTTCCTGCATTGGCAATCATTGGTAATCAATGAAAATGAAAAAGGAGCAGTCTGTAGAAGAGGGTGAGCAACGTCAGGTGCTAAAATTAGGCCAAGGAAAAATGAAGGCCAAGAGACGTTCTTTGTCTGTTGCTAGGAGTCCACTAGTGCACACCAGATGTGTGGTTTCAATCAGAGGGGAGAATAGAAACAAGATGACAGAGAATGCAAGGAGGGAGCTCTGACTTAAGAGAGTGGAGACAAGACACCACATATTGAAGAGCTTTGAAAACAAAGAGGAAGAAACTAAGAAACTTAGCTAGAAGTGTAACACAGGCTTTCGATAGAGCCCGAAGGCCCATTAAAGCCAAGGGATAGGAGCCAGCACATATTAGATTAAGTAGGCTGCAAGATCCCATGCAAAAAATCATGAGGAGCAAGCCAGTAAGCAGCAGTCCTCCAAAGCCTCTGCATCAGCTCCTGCCTCTGGGTTCCTGCCTTGCTTGAGTCCCTGTTCTGACTTCCTTCAATGGCATACAGTAATAAGGAAGTGTAAGCCAAATAAAACCTTTCTTCCCCAACCCAAAAATCCCATGCAAATACCCTCAGTAATTGGAAAGGGCAAGGATCCAGCCTGGAGATAGAGAAATCCAACTTTGGTGAAAAGGCAAGATTCTTTCTTCCCACTTTATAGTCTTTGAACCTTAAAATAGTGCCTACCAGATAGTGGTTTTTGAGGGAACTCTTTGTTGGATAAAAAAAAACTAAGAGATTTGCATAGATACGAAAGTATATTAATGTAAGGACTCTAAGAGCTAAGTCTTCCATAAAGGTAATAATGGCTGTATAGAAAAGACATTAAAGGGCTGGGAATATAGCTTAGTGGAGGAGTGTTTGCCTAGGAAGGTGAGAGAGTCACATAAAGAGTTAAGTGGTCATAGAACAAAGTACAAGGTAATGTATTTTTAGCTTTAAGGAAACACAAATCTCCAAATCTTACCGGCATCCCAGTGTGCCTGAATTCTCAATGTGTATCTTCGATGTATTCCACAATGTCCGTTAGGAGTCATAGGATTTTCAGAGACAAAACGAAAACTTGAGATCCCGGGCCGAGCTCTTGGCTAGCATATGAGACACCCAGGATTCAATTCCTAAGTACTGAGGAAAGAAAATTAACACCTTAAGGCTGTACAATACTAAATGAAACCAGTAAACAAGAGAAAATAATTTATAATCAAGTAGCTACAATATAGTATGTTCTATCAAGTATATCAATTGTTATTATTTTCCCAAACTCATTATATTTTATTCTTGTTCTGTTTGGGGCTTCCTGGTGCTGGCTTAATGGTCTACCACAGCACATTCAATCTGTGCTTGGCATGCTCCTAGCCCTGACGCCCATGATATCTGGAACTTGTTTTCAGGTCAGATCTCCCTACTTCCCAAGTCTGCTTAATTATTCTGCAGAGATCACAGCCATCATAAATTAAATTAGTTATGCACAGACAATTTCAAAAGCAAAATTGCAAAAGCCCTTTCAAAAATTTATAGTAAAATATAAATGTTTAATGTAAGAGGGGATGCATTTTAATATGTTTAATTTGATGCTGGCTGGAGCTTCCACAAGCAAGAGCACTTAGGGTCTGTGAAGGGAAAAACAGGCCTGCCTGGCACAGATGCGGCCAGGAGGAAAGATTGCACGTAGGTGAGTCAGCAGCCAGAGGCTGGAAGGCAGGCAGAACTGAGGCATAAATGATTCATTAATTTTTAAATTACCACTAGTTGAAAAGCCTTGCTTTTCACACACAGACGTCCAACTATTGCTATTGCTTTCCCTACAGTGCCGCATGAAGAGCTCATTCTTATTTCCATATTTCTGTTTTACATTCCTGTGATGTATTTCTAGTTAGGCATTTTTAGTTTGTTTACATATGTTTTCCTTCTGGGTAGAATTTGCACCGAGAAAGATTTATTACCTGGGGTCACATACACTCTAGAGAGATGGTAAGAGGCGCAGCAAGCAGAAACAACCAGCCTCCTTTAGCACAGAATGCCCTCCAGACTCTCCTTTCCCACTAAGCCTCAACTCACATTTGGTATTTCCTCCTTTCCTGGCTAAGTTCTCCACTTTCTGCATACATTGTTCTTGTCTTTGGACTATGGCTTGTCTTTGGCTTTTCTTTCCCATATATTGAACGCCAAAGTCAGGCATTACTTGGACCTACTTGCCTCCTCCTCTCAGAAGCTAGAGAGATCCAGCTGACACAGTATGCAATCAACCTGTCTTTCTAGGATCCAAGGATCTGTTTGTGTTACATTTTTGTTCATTGGTTGGCTAAATTTTTTCTTTTAACTTTTAACATTCTATTTGCGCGCGCGCGTGTGCGTGTGCGTGCGTGTGTGTGTGTGTGTGTGTGTGTGTGTGTGTGTGTTATGTATGGTTAACAGAGGACAATTTGAAGGAGTCAGATCTTTTCTTCCAGCATGTATGTCTCAGGGACTGAATTTAGGCTGTCAAATTTGACAGTAGCTGCCTTTTGTTTTGGAGACAGGATCCTTCATTTTACAGGCCACGCTGCCTTGGAACTCACTATAAAGAGCAGGCAGCTCCCAAAATCTTAACCCTCCTGCCTCAACCTCACAGCAACAACACCTGCTGGGATTACAGATGTTTATCATCACTCCTGGCTTTGAATGTTTTTTTTCCTTCAGTTATATAAGGAAGAACCTTGGGACTTGCACATGCTAAGTCAGTGTTTTACCACTGAGCTTCATCTACAGCCCCTGGATATGTCTTTTCAGGATTATTGCTTAAAACTACTTTTTACAGACTTCATGTTCTAGCCATCATGCCTTTGAAATTGAACATGTACAGGAGTTTAACTCAACAAGATAGGTGGGATCACTTGAACGCTGCTAGCTCGCCATCTTGGTTTTGACCTTTATAGCAGGTTAAGTTACAAAAATGGTTATAAAATACTCAGTACCTTTCCAAAGAATATGAGAGATGGCAATGTTGAAATACAGAGTGCAAAATCGATAAAAGCTTCTACAATTTGTCAAGATGATACTCATCAAACTCATAAGCTGATCAACATTCTTAGATTACATATAAAAATTTTTTGAGTGCTTTGGAAAGCCTAAGGAAAAAAAAACAGAGTTATGGCTAAATTACAAATTAGTATCTCATTTATTGGTAATAAAATCATCCACTTCTGCAAAGTTAAGTAAAGATCTCTAATTTCATGTACAAACAAAATAAAAATTATCAAAGTGAGCAAGTTTTTTTAAAACCATGGAATTAAATAATTCCAGACAAATTTGTTTAGGGGAAGAGACAGACTTTTGTCATCATTATCATTATTATTACTACATTTTTATTCTTTAGTAATGGTGCATTAGATACTTGAGCCAGTACTTTAACCCAGTGACTAGATAAGTACCCACAAAAGTGAAGTGTATAAGGTCATATACGATCCAAGGTCACCACTGAGGGACATTAGTTATGAATTATAAACATCAGATGTATTATTATTAGTTTTTTATGTTAGTATACAAAATAATAGGTTTCACATGACATTTTCATGCATATGTGTTGTTATACTTTGTTCTTATGCATCCTCTTCCCTCTTCTCCCTCCCTTGTGTCCTCACTAGCTGATTCCCTTCTTTTTCCAGCTCAGCCCTCTCTTCGGTTTTGTTATCACAAAACATCAGATTTTGAAAGCACTTTCTGTTTGTGAATGCTTCAAGGTCAAGTAATATTTAATCAACACTGCGATGGATATAGTAAGATGATCTATGAAGATTGCCTGAGTGCACCTCCCCTCACCCTCATGACCCTTTATGATGCAGGCAGTGTGGCACAGTGTGGCACATTGGCCTCACGTCCAATGTAGGTGTCACAGAGGGAGAGAAGAATGTAGTCTTGGTTTTCATCTTAAATCTCAGTCCAGGGTTTAAGAAACAGATTTGGGAAGAGTTCCTGCTGGAAGATACACGTTACACTCCTCACTTCTATCTCTCTAGCTCCAACAAACAAAAGCCAAAGGAGTGGTAAGAACATGAGCAGGAAGAGGAGAGAAATTAGGAGTGGAGGTCTTGTGGGAAGGCTGAGATGAAACTGTGTTGGGCAGCAGTAGAGACCCTGCCCTTAGAGGCATAATAGAAAGATGGATCCCTTCATGGATGGCAGCATTAGTGGATAACTGTACACCTCCAGGAAGACCTGTGAAAGCTACAGCCAGATTCAAGAAATGGGCTCATCCCCTCCCCCTCCAAATGATATTTCAGTCTTATTTTTATAAACTCTTGAGTTCAAAATCAATATGACTGTCCTGAAGGAGGGAGAAGATAAATCCTAAATTTGATTGAGCCTAAGTAGAAAATGACTGAAAGAGTCCCCAAATAATGAATTGACTGGGTTTTATGTGGATAACCTAATCATTGCTCTCAGGAAGGATGGTGCCTCCGGAAAGAAATGGTGTCCAGATACACACAGTGGAAAGTCCAGAATTTAGTCTCTCTTTCTTATGGAAGTATACTCAGTACTAAGTATCCCACACAGTAGCATTTCCATTGGCATCTGTAAAACACACAGTATTTTCATAGGGATCTGTTAAACAACCCTTACAGAAAAAGATGAATGACTTGGAATTTTCCTAAGGGTGTTAAACATCAAAACAAATTGCAGAAATGCTGCCTCATTTCTTGAGCACACATTCCCTACTTCAATATCAGTATTAATTTAGCTCTATCTATCATCCATCTCTTCTGCTATTACCCAATGGAACCCTCAATTCTTCAATGCTCACCTTAGGGCCTTGCTCTTTGAAGCTCTTCTCCCATTACTGTTCAGCTGGAAAGGAATGCTCCCTCTTCTGAGCAACAGTGTGCCTCTTTGTACCTTTTATAGAACTTCTTGGAACTCTTCAAGGTCTGCTTTGTATCATATTGTTGCAGAACGAAGGAGCACACGCTGGCCTCTGTTCCTTCTTATCTCTACTCACCATTTCTCAGCACTTTATGGTCACACGTTTTAGAGTAAATGCTTGGAAGATATCTGTTTATAATTTCCTATGTCGTCTCTTCTTTGTCCTTCCTTTAACGTGTATAAAATAGATAAACACACTTAACAATCATTATAAAGCAAATGCACATGTAAACTCTGCGTGGTAGAAACAGGAAATCAAACAGTTAGCACTTGGGACAATACCTCCAGAGCAAGCATCTCTTTCTCATCATTCCTCCCCCAACCCAGGATTAAATCTGGAACAGCTGCTGAGCCATAATTCTCTGAAGTATAGACATTTCTGTTTATTTTCATTTATCAAGATTTGTGTCATACTGGCTGTTCAAAAAATCTGAAGATTGAGCTTAGTGGTAACAGGCTTCTTTAGCATATTCAGGGCTGCAGATTTAATGCTCAGCACCACAAAAATTTTAGTATCTCCTCTGTATATAAGCCACTATCTTTTTTTTAATAAAAGATTTATTTATGCCGGGCGGTGGTGGTGCACGCCTTTAATCCCAGCACTCGGGAGGCAGAGGCAGGCAGATCTCTGTAAGTTCAAGACCAGCCTGGTCTACAAGAGCTAGTTCTAGGACAGGCTCCAAAACCACAGAGAAACCCTGTCTCGAAAAAGCAAAAAAAAAAAAAAAAAGATTTATTTATTTATTATGTGTACAACATTCCTTTTATATATGCGTGCATGCCAGAAGAGGGCACCAGATTTCATTATAAATGGCTGTGAGCCACCATGTGGTTGCTGGGAATTGAACTCAGGACCTCTGGAAGAGCAGTCAGTGCTCTTAACCTCTGAGCCATCTCTCCAGCCCTATAAGCCACTATCTTGACTTTTGTGATAATTAGTTCCTCGTTTTTTATTTTTACTTTATAACGTGAATATGTGATACGTTATTTATATATATTTGCCTGTTTGGGATTATGCAGTATATACTCATGTTTTGTTAATGTCATCTAATATCATGTCATGGTGGTGAATGTATATAGATGTTGTACATTTTCATTGATGGACAGGATATTGTATTGTATAGTGACTATATCACAATTCATTCCCCCTGATGAAAGACATTAAATGTGTCTTGTAGCTGTCTTTTTCAAGCCAATGCTGTTAAGAATATTCTTGCATAGTTAATTTTTTTCTGATGCCCATAGGAATGATGAAGGACATTCTGGAGGGTATATTATCCTAGTGGATTTAGTTGTCAATGATAAGAAGTAAAGATTCATAAATGGTGTATTGTATCCAAAATTTTCGTTAGAGATCAATACCTGTGAAAGAAAAGCAGAAGAAGGTTTCGGAAGGCAAGGTGAAATGCAATATAAGAATAAAACTTGAACCAATCTTTGGAACAAGTAAAGCCCACTGGTGAGTTTCTGTGTGTCTGAAATGATTCTTTTCATCCCTGCCTTGCTTATTCATCTTAGATGTACAAGACCTTGGCCCAAGCATCTCTCTGAAGTTGGGGTAGATTCAGGAAGTTATTAGTTGAAGGTTGTCTCTTTGCTTTCCAAATATGAACAGAATGCACTTTCTTGAAGGAGAATCTAGGTGGCACATCTATCTCTACCACAATTTATGTCTTCCACTCTAATAACATAATGTAATAACATAATGTAATTCTAAAGTAGCTGCATAATTTACATTCTTGCCTGCAATGTGAGACCCACTCTGCTCCTCATCCTTCTCAATGTTTTCTATTTTTAGTCTTTAAGGATTTCAGCCATTCTAGTTGATGTATAGCAGGGCCTTATCAGGTTTTTAGTTTGCCATTCTCCCAGTGACTTTAGAGGTTAAACACCTTGGATGATTTTTGCTTTGTTATGTCTTTGTTTTTCCAGTTGTACTTGCTTTGTCTTCCTTAAACCTTAACTGGATATTGCTCATGCAGGGTCTGCAAACCCTGTTCAAAGGCCAAAGGCCACTTCTTATTTGATCATCTGTTCTTTGTTTGTTTGAGTCAGGGTCTTGCTGTGTTGACCAGGTTGTCCTAGAACTTTCAAATCACAATCTTTTTCCTCGTGAGTGCTGGGACTGCAGTTGTGTGCTGCAACCTGACCACTTATCTCTTTTTTTTTTTTTTTTTTTTTTTTTACTTTTTAAATAAGTCCTTCAGATAATGCTGATGTGCAAGTATGAGAACCACTAGTCTATTCTTAGACAAGGACTTTATCCATTTTCTTAATGAGCCATCATGGTATTACTGTTCTATATGTACTATATGTTCCATATGTACTATGTTTGAAAGAGAAATGTCTCACGTAAGCTCTGGTATTTGAACACTTGATTCCCAGTTGGTGGTGCTTTTTGGGGAGTTTTTGGTGGTACAGCCTTGCTGTAAGAAGTATGTTACTGAGGGGTGGGCTGGGCTTTGAGATTTATACCCTGGTCTTCCAGTTTGCTCTCTCTGTTTCATGTTTATTGTGAAAAATGCGAGCTCTCAGCTTCTTGTTATGGTTGCCTTTCTTGTTTCTTGCTGCCATGACTCCACACCATGATGGAATCTTACCCCTGTGGAACCGTTATTCAAAATAAACGCTTCCTTCTAGCAAGTTCCATTGTTCACGGTATTTTATCATGGCAACAGGAAAAACAGTAACAAATACAACAGTTGGTACTAGAGAGTGGGCTGCTGTGGAGAAGAATCTAACCGTGTTGATTAATGCAGGAATGGCAGAGTAATTGGAACTTTTGCCTAGAAGAATAGTTGAATGCTGAATCAGAGCTAGAGATCATTCCTGTGATATTTTGGCAAAGAATCTGGTTTTCTTCTTGCCCTAAGAACTTTCCTGAGACTACATTAAAAAGTTCTGTGACCTCCTAGAAAACCACTTCCCTGGATGAGGAGGTGAAGCTCTTTAAGAAGATGGGCAACCACCTGATCAGCCTCCGTAGGCTGGCTGGTCACAGCTAATGCAGACTGGCATGCCCCAGCCATCTCTGGGCTATCTCTTTGAGAGGCTCACTCTCAAGCATGGCTAGGAGAACTCACCTTCCAAGGGGCTCCCACCTCTGCCTTGCACCAGTCAGCCTCAAGACCTTCACCAGAACCTCTTAAGCCACTAGACATGTTGATATGGAGCAGTGGGCTGCATCCCGCCACCCGGC